GTTTCATAAAATAAGCTCTTGAAACTAGTATAATAGTGGTTTGTAACACAGAAACTTGATTTATATTCCTTTTCAGGGTCAGCAGTTACGGAGGACATGGTGCGGGAAGTGGGTCTGAAAGAAAATGATTTTATTCAGTCACTCACCACTATGTTATTTAGCTAAAATGAATAACCAGAAAACGAAAAAGAGCAAAGGTTTTCTCCGAAGGACCAGAAGAGTAAGAACAGTTGTGACAACTGCAGGTGTGACACCCGCACCGGTGTCACCACTCCCACCACCATCACCCGCACCCGTCACCTCATTACACCATGGGATTTCACCTGAAGTATCAGGTGAAAACTCATGGTGTAATGAGGTTGATGAAGACAACATTAACTATCTCGAAGCTTTAGATATAGAGGGATTAGTCATGAGCCCATCTATATGAATATCTTGTATGAGGCTTAGTCATGAGCCCATCTACATCTTGTATGAGGCTTAGTCATGAGCCCATCTACATCTTGTATGAGGCTTAGTCATGAGCCCATCTACATCTTGTATGAGGCTTAGTTATGAGCCCATCTATATCTTGTACAATTTATATTTTATAACAATTTTATTCGTACATTAAATCAATAACGCATTTTCATTTGTAAACCTTGGCTGCTGAAGTCATATGTGACCGCTCTCTAAAACAACCGCCACCAAATTCTAGTTCTAAATTGAAATTTGCCACAATTAATAAACGGAATGCGCAGATCATATTAATCTTTAGCAACGTGAAAATGTGTGTTCCTACTATAATATTTGTGCGCGCGAGACATTCTTTCATTTTTAATCTGCCATAGGATCATATTTTAATTCGTTGTGTGGACTTTGCGATGCTTGATAATGTTGCAGTAATGAACTATATATGGTCATGACATTCAATGGGACCGTTTTCCCGGATAAAATACTACCATAATAATTACCTGGGGACCCCAGGCTATTAGTATTATGTTCATAAACATAAAGATTCGGCGGAATGACAGGCTGAGAGTGAGCGCCGTCCAGTAACCATAATAACTGAAGTTATGAAATATTTATGTTTTCGATGATAATATGAAATAAATCGGAATACGTGCATCAGTCCTGTTCTTTGCATGGGTAAACCATGATAACATTATTGATTATGATGATCATTACCTATTAGAGTGTCAAGCTGTTAATCGTAATATATATGAGGCTGCTTACGGTACATGCATCATGTGAAATATCACCATAGAAGAAAAAGAATTTTAATAGGTATTTATGACCTGGTATCACTATCAGTAAACGTTAGGTAGCTAGGTGCGGTGTGCCAATTATTGTATCTACATAACAGCGATCATTATATTCTTGTTATCACAAAGTATGAATACCCAAATGCACCATCTTTCTAATTCAAATAGATCAGAATTCATACCATGTACATTATCAAGTCAACTGTAGTAACTTAGTAAAATCTATTTTTGATATGTTCTCGATTATCGTGCAATCACAGTCCGAAATCACAATTATCGTGCGATATCAGTGCGACATAACAATTATCGTGCGATAACAGTACGCGACATCACAATTATCGTGCGATAACAGTACGACATCACAATTATCGTGCGATAACAAGACGATCCTGCGATAATCACGCGTTTATCGTCAAGTACCGCTGGGAGAGCTGCATAGAGTCTACTAGTATTTAATATTAGCCTGTACTGACTCAATAAAATGTGACCTCCCGTGTTGCAGGTTGTAAGCTGATATTGATATATGTTTTAATTGTATAGGAGCTCTCGTCTCTTACGTTGGAAGAGAGCTGCCTGCGAGCCTGTGAGTGCCTTGTAACATCACGTGATCTCAGATCACATCACGTGATTCCGTGGCGTTACTTGACACGCGCGGCGCAGTCCTTTTCGGGGGTAAGAGAAGAGGGAGTCCTGTTCTCTCGTGAGTTTTTCGAAGTCCTTTCTTAACAAGTTTTGTAGATTTACATTTTTTATCAGTTCATCTATTATCAGTCCAATCGTATTCGTTGTTCACTGTTCTCAAGAAATATAGAAGCTACACTCTATATCCTAATTTAACTAGATTGACCTACTGTTAATCTAGTTCCATAACGTCATACAAGAAGTCGCCTCTGTGACCGTTCGACCAGTGTGACCACTAATTTCTTTCCACTTAAAGACCCTTTTTCAACTCTACAACATCTGGAGGCCACGGTGGGATGTCCTCACTGGTCTCAATAAGCCTTCAGCTATTTAGACCAGGTCCCGACTGTACTAGTCCCTAAATTATTTTAGTCCTTAAATTATTTCAGTCCTTAAATTATTTTATTCACATTTATTGTTGTTACTAAATGTGTTTCTTTCTTAGCCAATAAGCCTACAGCTATTGAGCTTTTAGATACCTTTAGTATTCATTTATAGGATTGTATGAGTGTATAACGATTTATTTTTTATGTATAAATCGTCATCTTTTTATTTATATGGTCATGTGTTGCAGGTTGTAAGCTGATATTGATATATGTTTTAATTGTATAGGAGCTCTCGTCTCTTACGTTGGAAGAGAGCTGCCTGCGAGCCTGTGAGTGCCTTGTAACATCACGTGATCTCAGATCACATCACGTGATTCCGTGGCGTTACTTGACACGCGCGGCGCAGTCCTTTTCGGGGGTAAGAGAAGAGGGAGTCCTGTTCTCTCGTGAGTTTTTCGAAGTCCTTTCTTAACAAGTTTTGTAGATTTACATTTTTTATCAGTTCATCTATTATCAGTCCAATCGTATTCGTTGTTCCCTGTTCTCAAGAAATATAGAAGCTACACTCTATATCCTAATTTAACTAGATTGACCTACTGTTAATCTAGTTCCATAACGTCATACAAGAAGTCGCCTCTGTGACCGTTCGACCAGTGTGACCACTAATTTCTTTCCACTTAAAGACCCTTTTTCAACTCTACAACACTACTAGTATTTAATATTAGCCTGTACTGACTCAATAAAATGTGACCTCCCGATCAGTAAAATTAGGGGCGCTGGGAGAGCTGCATAGAGCCCACTAGTATTTAATATTAGCCTGCACTGACTCAATAAAATGTGACCTCGGCCCGATCAGTAAAATTAGGGGCGCTGGGAGAGCTGCATAGCTGAGTCCACTGGTATTTAATATTAGCCTGTACTGACTCAATAAAATGTGACCTCCCGATCAGTAAAATTAGGGGCGCTGGGAGAGCTGCATAGAGTCCACTAGTATTTAATATTAGCCAGCTTGTCACTCGTGAAAGATCTGCGCGCGGCTGTATCGTGGCTAGTTCGCGCCACTAGTGTATAGTGAAACGAAAATGGGAGTCAGTCATGAAGTCATGATATAACAATAACCAAAGACTTGTCATACGTTGTATGACCCGCCGCGCACGAAGTCAGAAGTGCGCACGAAGTGCGCGGCTCCCCCTGTATCCCCCTGTATCGTCACCTATTGTAGCGCGATGCACTACTGGGTCGCGCGCGCATCAAATATGCTTCTCGCAACCACAGATTAAGCAGATCGGCGAGATGCGAAGGATTGACATCGTCAATCAACGTCACCTAGTGAAACGACCGTGGGTGTCGCAACGTGATGCAACCAAAGACTAGGTTATCAAATTTTTTATTGGAGTGAAAAGAAAACTTAATTATGCACTATTATATCATTATATGCAGTATGCATGTTGAGTTTGACGGATGTTACTCGTATAAATTTCTTCGAAGTAGCGCGCGCCGCTTTCTGCTTTCTTCTCGAAATAGCCCGAAGCAAGTGCTACGAAGCTGAAAGTTTAAGTAGCGCGTGCCGTGCTAGTCCATTAACAATGGACAACTATGCATGGAAAGCGATCGACAGCTAGGGTAACTCCGAAAAGGCTAAGGCCCTGGATGGCCTGTGCACTCGAGGCCGATGCTGCTAACTTGTCGTACGTTGTATCATGTATGACCCGCCGCGCACGCGAGTGCGCCCGGCTCCCTGTAATATCGTAGATTAGCAGAAACGCTACAGTTGCCTTTGTATCACGTTGCGACCCCCACGGTCGTTTCACTTTATCGTCCTGACGATACAGGGGAGCCGCGCACTTCGTGCGCGGCGGGTCATACAACGTATGACAAAGTTGCCTGTACTGGGGACCTCAGGCTATTATGTTTATGTTCATAATCATAGAGATTCGGCGGAATGACATTTGCATTGACAGGCTGAGCGTTGGAGGACTTCGCCGCTTCGACGCGCCGCGCGAACTAGCATTCTGGCTTCGCATCGTTGCTCTGCTTCGCAGAGCAACGATCTCGATGGGTTGACATCGTCAACCAAGCTGAGCGCGGCCCAGTAACGCTAGAGTCTAGTCGTTCGACACTTACAAAAATGGGGGTCACGACGTACTGATACAACTGCTAAATATAAGACTTTACAGGCGTTGACAACATCATGTATCAGTCGAGATGCCTGATGCAGTACGACAGTTAGCACTGAACCGATCAGTGGAATAGACTATAGTATAAATAGAGGAACCTGTTAATTACGCCGTAGTAGTGGTACAACTACACAGTACAAGGGATGTGTGTACTGATGCAGGTGGCAGGCCACTCCAACGACTATTACTAACTCTAAGAGGCCACCCAAACGACTAAGAGGAAACTTTTTCATGTAGCATGTATGTATGTATTCTACAAAAATCTCCGATTTGATTGGAGCTCTGAGCTGATGAGGTTGTCATTGCATTTGCTTCGCGCACGGCATGCATAGTAGAGGGGTTGCAACAACTGAACTTGCTAGACACACGCAATACAAGAGCTTGGTATAACTATAACTATAAGAGTATAAGGTAACGCTATACCAAATACGCATTTCCCTTTTCGTGGCTCATGCTGCATGTTATTCAACTTGTACTTGTAGTAATGCTGCATGCAATGACCCCCCCCCCCCCCCCCCCCCCCCCCCGGTATTATCAGTTATCAACTCAACCAAACAAAATTAAAAATGCAATTTATGAATAAAAGTGGACAAAATTGAAAATAGGGAGACAACCCTGCATCACGTACAATTTGTACTTTTGTTTTACAATGTACATCTTATTAATTACAAAATTTATACATGAACATCTGCAGTGAAGTTGTTTAATAGTACATAAGTACATCTGAATCGGTCCAAGGTCGTATTCAAAGTGAAAACCATAGTATGAAACCACTAAACTACCAGGCGACTCTTAGTCTTAATTATAACTTTATAAAGAGCTAGCTATACATCGTTCAACTATAACTGATAAATAACTAACAAAATTATCGACAATGTTCCAGCGGGTGACGGTATGCTCAGAAGGGTTTGCCCAGTTGTTCCTCCAAAGCGAGGGCTATGTGATCTACGTACTCCTTTAGTATGTTGTGGGTCTGAAAAGAAGATATATCATATTGAGAAGTAATGAATTTTAGGACTTTAATATTGACTGATGTGCTGGAAGTGAAAATCAGAAGTTTGTGAGTGATTTGACCCGTAGAGGTTTAAAACTTAACTCTTTGAATGATCTTAATAAGCTTAAGATATAAGCCGATGATAGAGTTGCTTGGAGAAACAAATTTTTACTCTAGCTGTCTTGATCTGTACTGATCACCATTTTAAGATGACTTGATTTCTGTTAGGGGTTTTGAATATTTTAATGGTGTAAACAGTTTCTTAATAATAATATTAATAATAATATAATATGATTATCATTATGATATTCATATAATATTGAAAATACTAACAAGAATAGTAAGTTTCTCCTGATACTTCTTCTTTAGAACAGGGTCCGATATCTCCTCCCACTGAATGAGATTAATGTCAAGTTTTGTATTCTTTAACCGATTAATACAATGATAGCGACAGGAAAATTACTTAAGTTAATGAAGTCAGTAAACAAAATAAAAAGTGACAGAATGCTTAGATTAGTAATAGGATTCTAGTTTAATAATAATTAATATGCAATAGATTTAACTTATAATTGATTTGTAACTAGTCACAAGTTATCCCTGTTACCTCTTTCTTTTCTGGTGCCTCTTCATCGTCAGGTATTAGCTGTTGGTCTGACTTTTTGCTGCCAGCTTTGCTGACTACTCTAGGTTTGCTCTCAGCCTGGGTTCGCTGGAGTTTTAGTATTAGACTACGGCATTTTCAACATTAGCGTTTAGGTTTCCTTTTTCTAAATTTATGACAATTATATCAGTAATTTCACTCGGGCTGACGCGGGTAGGTTCGGAGTGAAAGATAAAGACCCAGAGTTGATTCAGAAGCTCGCAAAACTTATTACAATAACAGTTAGGGGTTCATGAACCAAACAGAAGATTACCTTGAGACGCCTTCTCGTCACAACTCTGATAAAAGAACAGAAAACGGACAAACCTTACTACCCGGCTTTGCATCTTTCTTCTTGTCTCCGTCTTTTTTAGCCTTTTTACTGTCTGGAGCTGGAGATATCAATGCTGATGCTACACTTTGTTAGATATATCATGATGATAAAGATAAAGAATCAAGTAATTTCCGGATAGTGAATACTGTAGAAATTGTAGCAGTAAAAGTAGTAGTTATAGTTGACAAATTTCAAGTAAAAATCAAGTTCTCGCTTCCTGATAGTGTCCTGATAGTTGGAGCTGTTAAATTGTTAATATAATATTAGTGTTTGTTTTATTAAACAGTGCAATGCTGCACTGGGCTGTTACTACAATATACAACACGATGATAGTGTGTCGTGTTAAATATGATATAACTATAAGGTTTAAATTAAGTCTATGAGCTCAGGGCAGATTGCTAAACCAGTATAGCCTTGCGTGTGCTCTGATGCTCAAATACCTGAGAACTTCGCATTTCAGCAATCGCAGGATTGCAGTGCCTATTTCAGGCGAGGCGGTAAGTGTTTGTTTTGTTACTTTGTGCTTCAAACAGTGCTAAATTAAGAAGGCAGAATTGTATGGGCTATTGTTAGAAAAAAGGAGAGTACCTTGAACTAATAATGATATAGACAGTGTAGTAGTATGCTTCCTACAACTGCAGTAGTATGCTTCCTACAACTGAATGGGAGCTTCTAGAATCTAGAGTCTATAAGGAGGGTGTGACGAGTGTAGTAGTGGGGGGGGGGGGGGGGGGGGGGGGGGGCCGGGGGGGTGGGGGCCGGGGCTAGTAGTGAGTATTTAATTGGTCTACAGCCTGAGATTAGCCCTTTAGCCACACCACTTACTACCGAAGTAGCAACAAGAAATGACAAACATGGCGCACTGTTCAACTTCACATTTTTCTGAACTGCCAATGTACTTACAATCTCGATTCTGCCCTTGACGAGATTCCGAAGCCGCTAAAATTTTCAGTATGAAAGTAAACTACTTTGAGCTTGTTAAGTCAAATTTAAAGTCCCTTAAAATTGTTTGGACGAAAATACGTATCACGCCGGTATCACGGTTATTATTATTATTCTTTAAAATACGCAGATTAAACCATTGCTCACATTCCACCATTCCAACCTGTTTTCTCCGAAGTAGCGTCTATCTCCGGGGGAGGCGGTTCCTCAACATGGATTCTCTCCGGTAGAGACATCTGACTTCTCAACGATAGATCCTCGTCTTCTAACGAGTCGATAGCTGCCCGCAAACAGCCGTAACTAAGGATTGGGGAGTTAGCTTACTGTTGTTAGCTTACTGTTGTTAGCTTAGCTTAGTGGGTGTTTATAGTTGTTAGTTTAGCTTAGTGGGTGTTTATAGTTGTTAGTTTAGCTTAGTGGGTGTTTATAGTTGTTAGTTTAGCTTAGTGGGTGTTTATAGTTGTTAGTTTAGCTTAGTGGGTGTTTATAGTTGTTAGTTTAGCTTAGTGGGTGTTTATAGTTGTTAGTTTGATAAAGGAATGTCATCAGTAAATTTAATAAGATGGAGAGGCCGATGAGCGTCAGTTGCCTTGGATGACGTCACAAGTCTTCACATACCACAGATCGTAACTATCTTCAGAGATAGGTTTGATACGAGGTTGTGTAAACTTCTCTCGTAAAACGCTAAACTCGGCCATCTTCTCTGCTTGTTCCTCTTCCGGTAAGCCGAGTATCGCCTGAATTTATTAAACTCTTTAAACAGTCAGTAACTAAACAAAGATTCGTAAAATAAATCAAATGTGGATTTATATTTCAAGAAGGGAAGATCACAAAAGCTCACCTTTCTCAATGATAGCAGTGTCTCATCCCATACATACAAATTTTCCTCTTCGCCCGTACTAGATAAACTGGCATACATCTCTTCCGCTTGTTTGTAGTAGTCACTCTGGAAAAATAACGATTAAAGCACTTTTAGCTGAATAATTATTAGTGGAATATTAACCATAATGTTGAAAGATGTCATGTTAGACTCGATTTTTATTAATTATTTTACAACGGAAATCAAATAAACCTGGTAATGAAGATACGGGTTCTTCTTGTCGAATCTCTCTGAAACGTCTGGTGGAGGAGGAGAAGGAGCGGGTGGAGGAGGCGGACTGTGGACCCCTCGTACCAACTCATCTACCAGCAACTTAATGTTGTACTGAGTCTGCCTCTTCTCAAGCAGCTCCTGAATATTATTGTTGTTATTTGGCGGGCAGATAATAACTAACCAGGGATCAGGCGGAACGGTGAAAAACACTAAATTAATTTGTAAATAATTCCCTTTTTAAAAACTTTTCGCCGGAGACAAATTTCAACATGATATCGCATCTAACCTCGATCTTAGCCTTCTCTGCCTTGAAGATGTCCCTCTTGAGGGCAATACCCTTGAGAGTGACGACAATTGGAGCGCCATCATTGAGGATAGGTTTGGTTATGAACTGCCAGGACTCAGTGTAGATACCAGCTTGTTTGCTCAGGAAGATAAGGGGTATGCTCAACTCCTCTCCGGGCAGAATCACACCTGTAAGGGATTGTTAATTAATATCATCATTGTTGTAATGATTCATTTCGATAATTGTTAATTGCGAAATTTTAAAGTCGTGAACAATTTTCTTCTGCCGATCTTTTTTAATTGATAAAAAATGAACTCATAAAATAAAAACTAAAATTATTAATGTGTTAGCTATGTATAAGCAACATGAAATGAAGAAATAAAATCGGACTAAATTACAGCCTTGTCATTCAAGTATTAGATTCGGTCAAAGAAATTATGTTCAAAAATAGTTCTACAAAGCAGCAAATAATTCAAATAAATGTAAATGTAATATTAAACACTGGGCTAAAATTCCAGGCCTTAGCTGGAGAACTAGAGTCATTTGAGGGTTATTGGTGAGTGGTGGGTCACAGAATACATCTTTTTACTGTTTACTGTTTACTGTTTACTGTTTACTGTTTACTGTTTACTGTTTACTGTTTACTGTTTACTGTTTACTGTTTACTGTTTACTGTTTACTGTTTACTGTTTACTGTTTACTGTTTACTGTTTACTGTTTACTGTTTACTGTTTACTGTTTACTGTTTACTCTGCGAAGTCTATCACGACTCCACGATATCATTATCTACCGGTCTAGTTGGTCTTGAAGGATCGGTCGATGGAAGGATATTCCTCGTTTCGGGGACGTTCAATTTGAACACCTTTTCGTCTACAAAATGTTTGAAGCTCCTGATAGTGAAATAATAAACAGCAGGGTTGAAGAAGTTGCTGATGTAGAAGATGTAGGTTGTGACGATGTTAAAAACCGGCCCCGCTACCTCACCAAACTGAACGTGAGCCATCTTCATGATCATGATGATCGCTGCTGGCAGGGTGGCTATAGTGAATATCACTGATATCACCACAATAGCGATAGCGCCTTTCTTCAGACCTAAGGTCAGCACCTTAACCTGGACCAGGAGCCAAGTGGTGGAAATAATGATAATGACATTCATTAACAACATCCACCCCACTAGGATGGTTCCGAAAGGGATCCTGTTTCTGTAGTTGACCCAGCACTGGAAAGTCACAGTATCGTAGTAAAGTTCAGGATTAGACACCGCAGTGCTGACAACACTGTAGGTGGACACCAGCACCCAAACCAGGATAACGAGGATAACAGCATGTCGGCTCCGTCTGACACGGGCATGGATCGGAAACAGGAGACAAGTCAGCTTGCTTACACTCAGGAGGGACACTAGCAGTGTGGTCATGTTGAAGAAGATGTTAGTCAGGACTTTGTTAACCACACAGAACTGTCTGCCGTATATCCACTTGTCAGCTATCAGAGCCCCGATAGTGGGTATTATACCAACCAGTGTGTACCCCAGATCTGCTACTGCTAGGTTCTCGATTAGTTTTACAGAGACTTTGTCCACTTTTAACGCCCGGAACTTTCTGGAAGCAACCAGAACAACTGTGTTACCGGTGAAAGAAAGGATTGCAGCGAGGATTGACCAGATTATCAGCAAATATCTGATAGGATCTGGTGTGACGAATTCATCTGCCATGTTTACTAGTATTGCGTATTTTCAAGCTAAAAATAAGATATGGCAAAGTCAGGTGTGGGTTTTATAATTGTAGGCACTAGGCCAGCAACACCTGAATTATATGAATCAAACCAGAGCAAGTTTGAAGAATATTTTTAAAGGCCTTAAGTTAATAAGTTCGAATGGCCATATAACTTAAGAGCGACTATATTTTTTTGCAGAATAATGATGTATTTTCTCGCACCTGCTCAGAAGTCATTGATAGTACAGACAGATCCGTCTGAAAAAATCGATCTGCTGACACACGAAGCTTTCAGAGGATTTTTTGACGTTTTTGAGTTCCATTAGGTGCCCTTTATGGCTGACCAACTTTTCCAAACTTTTCCACGTGTCTTAAGGCCACTTTTTGCCACTTTACCACTTTTTACCACCTTTCTTGTTTGTCGAATATCTTTAGTTGTGAACATCGTAAAAGGTTGCGAATCAATCGAGTGTGTTCATATTATCAGGAAAAAAAACTTTTGTTGAAACAATTTTTACGTCAGATAATAAGTTAATTGGATAATTATCAATTAACTAATTAGCAAAATTCTAAAAAATTTTTATTGGCTAAAAATGATCGGAATAGCTTGAAACACGGAGAAAAGTAGTTTTTAGAAAAAATTTGAAAATTTTTCACTCACATTTTTTTTTCGAGACTTAGAAAAATTTCGAAAATTCAAAATATTTTTTTCCGCCAAAAGTGATCAAATTGCATGAAAAGCGGAGAAAAATGATTTTCAAAAAAAAACTTAGTCAATTTTTCGTTTCAAGAATACTTAAATCACCAATATTTGTAGTTGGTAAGATCCTCTGAAAGCTTCGTGTGTCAGCAGATCGATTTTTTCAGACGGATCTGTCTGTACTATGAGTCAATGAAAGTACAATAAAATAATACAATAAACCCTACAGCAGTAAGTTTTGCTATTGATTTTATAAGTCTGTTGTAATAGATCTGGATAATCTGATCTACCTCTAGGTAAAATGGAATAAATCTAACAGCTGCTTCAAGGTTCGCAATTCAGTAATAAGTAATAAGGAATCGTAAAATAGACTATAAAATAATTGAAGTAAATGCGTGCACCTGATTCAGATGTAATGAATCCGCAGGTCATTTGCTTACAAGAATTGAAAATAGACGCATACGGCATATTATGTTTAACAGCCAAGCCATAAAAATTCTCATTGGATTTCTGGTTACTTGATCTACTTTCTACGAAACGATATTTGTATGGGAATGGAACAACTCGTCAATGTGAAGGAGGGTGGAAACATCTGGATCAAGGAAAAAGTACAGTGTTACTAGGTATCATCAAGACACCATTCTACAAAAAGTCTGTAAACCTAAAGCTGCCCGTGTTTATCAGATGAAGAGCGGCTCTACCCAAACGACTCAAAATATGATGGAAGAATTCGGGGATACCTGTAATTGCCAAGTCGTCATCTGCAGATCACCAAAGCTAGATTTTAAAACTTATTAAACGTGATATATTACTCAAGAGAGCGAATACAAAACATACTATTAAACATGACTTTGAACCAGAAGCATATTTATAATACTTTCGTGTAAAAAAGCCTAACAACTACAAGGTTTCGTATCAGCTGCCACAACCTCTACATCGAACGGGGGCAAGACGAAACTCAACTTTTACCGCTGCTATAATAAAAGTGTATATATATATACACTATATATTATATAATATCTCTATTATAATTCAAAGAATTCTTTTTGTCTGTATGTCTGTACGACCGCCCACGTGCAAATCAGACGAGAAATAGGAATTTAGGTAACAACCAAAACGTTCCATAGCGACGGTGTTTTAATGTACACATGCTCGTGCAAAGATTGTTTTAACGTCATTTTGATCGGTTTTGTGGTAATTACGTTGTGTTTAAAGTGTTTTATATTTAAATCGGCTGTATCTTCGGTTGGGATGGATATTTTTTGATGCGATTAAAACTTTCTTTCAAAGAATACTACTAGCTTCGTCCCCGTTACCACGGGCTTTCTAGTATATATATAAGTCAAACCTGCCCAAGCTAGAGAGCCATGGCAGGGCCAGCAAGCAAGGCCCGGACCAAAACAAACTGAGACGACTGAGTATAGAAAAAATCAATATGGAAACAATAATAAAAGTGTACTGACTGTTTCTTTAGTAAAGCGCTAAAGCTTATTGAAGACAGAACACATGTTCTCATAAAATATATGCTATATTTTAGTTCCATAGTTCCATACTGAAAACATCACTGACCTAACTTATCACAAATCAAGCAACTTGTGCAATGAATTTAAAATTTGGAAGCATGAACGACACGCGCACGCCCAGGATTGATATTAACCGAATGAAATTTACACCATTTATTATAATACCATGGGACTGACGAATCTCGCAGTATGCGTAAACGTAATCAAGGAAGGGTGGTGCCCAGTGTCCACCATTATATCGATCTAATTTAAAATGAAATGTGTCAGCTCTCAGTTGTCAGTTGTCAGTAGCATGCCTTAGAACTATAGAGTATAGAGTATAGAGTGCTCTCACAAATAGACCGGTTATACGGAGATCAGAGCAAACGTGTTGTCCAGAGCTCTTAAGTAAAATTCGTTCTAGATAAAATTAAATAAATGCTTAACGCAATGCAGGTATTACTATAATTTAGCATTAGCTTATGAATTGAACCTGTGGGGAGTATACCTCCATTTTTAGTATAATCATCTACTGATAACATTATAATTATTATACTAACGAACAAATCATTAATACTTTGGAAACATCTGTCTTGATTTAGTCTCTCGCCCATCCCCCCCCCCCCCCCCCCCCCCCATTGCATCGTGAGGAGAATACGGAACTAAATATTTGAAGAAGTAGGTTATAAAATTTAATGGTGAAATGAGACTATAAGAATCGGTGCTAATCGGTGTTTATAAACGGTACCAGAAACAAATCAAAGCAACGTGTTAAACGAATCTGAGCGTGATACCCAAAAAAGGAATAATAATAGAATGATGTCACACACAAGAATGATGTGAACTGTGAACTTTAATATGAAATAAGATATCAGGAAACGTCACTTCTACTCAAATTCTAGGTTCATATTGGCCACGTTATCAGTCAAGGTGCTAAAGTAAAGCATTATTCCATTTATCACTTTAAAGGTTCGATGTGAGGCTAGGAAAAATCTTCCTAATAATTCGAAATTGTCTCTCTGTATGTGTGACCGCCCACGTGCAAATGGGATAAAAATCAAAAGATTGCATGGTAACGCGAGTGGAAAAGCGCACGTGCACGTGAAAAAGTTATTATTAGCTTCCTCCCTGTTTTACTATTAGCATCCTGCCTGAGACTGTGGGCTTTCTAGTACTGTAAAAACTTAATCTTCGTCTGAAGAATGTGTTAATGACAATCAACTAACTAAAAGTTTCTCTCATCAGGCTATTTAATCACGTGTTGTAAAGGGTCG